AAGGGATTATCGATTAGCTACAAGCGTAAACGCGGTGAGTTGACATCAAGCGAGCAAAAGGGCAATAGTGGACAGCGAGCGAAGCTCAGCGCAGCATGAGTCAGCGCAGTGACGAATTCCTACAACTCTGATGATCTCTTCGCAAACGCGTTGCCCCGACGGTAAGCGACCGGCCCCCTGAGATAATACCAAGCAGGAGAAATGGATCATATTTAAGTCCTAGGGTCAGCTTAGAGGCTGAGAATATTTGTGATACCGATTCGGACGCATGGTAAGGCTGTGAGGGTTCGGGGTCAGCGCTCCTCGAGATACGACTGCTAACTTTGTTTCAGCTTTTTTTTTTCGGCCGACAAAAATATTCAGTACCTCACTGCAATGACGCGAAATTATATAGGTGCCCCACCCGCCGGGGAGGTACTGCCACACAACCGGGGGACTTAGCTGACTGTGGAAGAGAGTGCGTTTTTCTGTCGGTAAGATAGAAGTTAACGAAGGGGACTCTCCAATCGGCTAATTTGCTACCTTGTACTGCTCGCGTATACAACCTACCTAAACCAGAACAACCCAATTTTTAAATGATCTTTGAGAGCCAGAATTCAACGCAATTAAACCCCATCGTTAACCTAATCTAGGCTTATAACCTCGTCCCAAAACTTCTAAAAAACAAAGGAAAACCAACCGGAAACTGACGGAGACACCCGTCTGATGATGCGCCTCAGCGTATACGCGAAACCTCATTTGACTGCATAACTTTTCTCTGCCCTCTGTAAAATTTAATGAAGTCTTGTCAAGTTTATTTGGCTGCCTATCTACGTGTGCTACTGTCTTCCTTTCATCTTATAAAGCCTCTTTTGTTTTTTTATATTTGCAAAGGACCCGGTCTTCGATGCAAGCGCTGTTATGCCTTTTTCAAAAATCCCGATCGACTGCGACTGCACATGCTCTACATGCACGAAAGTAAGTAATTAACTCCTCCCGCCCCTACCCCCAGTATTTTCTAGCCAATAATTGCATTTCATGGTTTCACCGTTTCGCCTTCTCATTCACCCCGAACGTCTCGCTTCTCCTTCTAGACGTAACCGAGTTCAAGTGCCGTTTCTGCGAGCTGGTCTTTCGTTCGCCGCGGGCGCGTGATGTGCACATGAAAGTTGTGCATTCCTTCTCT